GGGGAGGGGACATCTGTAAAACTTTCAACAATAAAGATAAATTTTAAAAATAAATAAATAAAAAGAAAAATTATGTTGTTTTTTTTGGTTTTAGAGAGGGGGCAAGGGAGAAAGAGAAATAGTGATGTGAGAGAGAAACATTGATTGGTTGCCTCGTGTATGGCCCCCAGATCACCCTAGGACAGAACCCACAACCTGGGCATGTGCCCTAACTGGGACATTGAACCAGTGACCTTTCAAGGCACAGGACAATGCTCAACCAACTGAGCCACACCAGTCAGGGTGCAAGTACATATCTTTAAAAATACTTCAACAAAACATAGTCATTTGTTTCATTTATCATTTGTTACTACACCCAGAACATTTTAAGTAACACAAAATATAACAAATTTAAGACTGCCTAAATCAAATTAAACTTGGTCCAATGACCTTTACAGATAAGTTGACTACTAGAGACAGAAATGAAAACTAAAAAATTTGAGGAAGCAACGGCCACTTGGATGCCATAGAGAAATAACTAACAAACTTTACTGCATTGTTGACTAGTTATGTATTACATAGATTTCCTTGAAAAGTTGAAAGGTAACTTTTAAATTGATTCATAAATAAAGCAAAAATATTTAAATTTAGGGACTATAAAGAAATAGATCATAATCCAAGATGTTTTGTGTTACAGAGCTCTCTTATTTTTCACCAAAAATGACTGACTGTATTCCCTAAAATGCCTTTTCAAATGCTTCTAGCCAGTCTAACTGAGAGGTCCTCCAACGTGTGTACTTTAATATAAAATACAATCATGTTTAAGGTTAAGATGTGTCTTTGGAAGGTTAATTTACACTGTAATATAACAATTTACAATGTAAATGTGGGTACATTTTGAGAGTACCAGGGCTGGTTTAAATGTCACCTAGAATTCTTGCCCTGCCAGGCGTGGCTCAGCGGTTGAGCGTCGACTAGGATCCAGGAGACTGTGGTTGGATTCCCAGTCAGGGCACATGCCCGGGGTTGTGGGCTCGGTCCCCAATGTGGAGCGTGCAGGAGGCAGCCGATCAATGGCTCTCTCATCATTGATGTTTCTATGTCTCTCTCCCTCTCTTTTCCTCTCTCTGAAATTAATGAAGGTATATTAAATAAATAAATAAATGTCACCTAGAATTCTTAAAGTACAGAAAAACAAATTTGATACCACTGATAAGATTTCATTTAATACCGTATCAGAGAAATTGAGGGATTTTTTAAAATTAAGTTTACCTGTTCTGCTTCCACATAAATGAGGGGGAATCCCATTTGTTTGGTCCAGGTATTCATCACTGCTGCTATAGGCTTACCACTGGCACTTTCTAAACATTCCCAGAGGTCCTCTAGCAGATAAACACAAACAATGAAAATATGAATGTTTACATTTTTATTTTTCTAAAAAAAATACAGAAATTTTATATAACTCTTGACAATGCATTACTGACCAACTCTTTGGTTCTTTCATGTTCAGGAAACAAATAGTGGGCCAAATTAATGTCCTCCTTGCCTTCCCATTAAGTTAACTCTATTACAAAAACTGGTCTTATATTCTAAGATGTTCCTAATTGTTCCAATTTATTAAAAATTACAAATTATAATAAGTAAAAGACAAACAGGTGAGTTTGAAAAAGATTAAGTAGAAATAAACAAATAGAAACATATTCAAGATCACTACTAAACAATCATTCACAAACATAAAACCATTACACCCAGTCAATTAACAGAGTTAAAAATACTCAATAAAGCTGATGAGGAGGTGGCAGAGTGAGCAAAACTGTGATGCCATCTGATACATACTCTAATGGGGGCATGAACAGAGAAAAAGCACTTAAAGGAAAATCCAAACAAAATAAAGGTTTCACAAGAGTTGACTTTTGGTCTGTATCCTGAAGAGCTGTTCTTCAGACAGAAATGAACCCACTAGTTCATTCCGGGTAGGCAGAATAAATGGTCTATGTACAAAGATGAAAGTATGAGAAAAGACAGAAAATATAAAAAATAGCAATATGTTCAATAAGCTGAAGATAGAGGGCACATGTGTGGGAGTAATGGGCAATGAGGCTATAAAAGTAGGTAGGGCCGAACTGCTTAAGACTCTCTCTGGCTTACAAAGAAGTACTGACTTTATCGTGAAGGGAATGTGGCATCTCAAATATTTTTATCAGTACGATGATGCAATCTGATATTCACTTCAGAAAGATAACCTGGGCTAGCCTCAGAGTGAGAGATGAAATTGAAGAGAGTGGGGCAAGGCAAGTAGTGAGTTAATAGGCAACTGCAGAATTTAATGGATACATCATGAAGGCATGAATTAAGGAAAGTGAAGAGAGGATAGAAAGAGGGCACTGGAACTGCTGCAAAAGGATAAATAGCACGGATGATAACTGAGATGTATTTGAACCGCCAGTGTCTTTCATAAACCACAGAACAAACCAAAAAAAGGTACTTGTTATTCAAATGTGACCTAGGAACTAGCAGCATTGGCTTCACCTGGGGGCGTGTTAGAAATGCAGACTCTCAGGCCTTACTCCAGGCCTACATATTAGAAACATTCTAATAGACCCCAGGTGATTGTATGTCCATTATAGTTTAAGAAGCACAAGGTTCTTTCCTCATATATTATATACAGGCATACCTTGGAGATATTGCAGGTTCTGTTCCAGACCACCACAATAAAGCAAATATCTCAATAAAGTGAGTCACATAAATTTTTTGGTTTCCCAGTGCATATAAAAGTTTTGTTTATACTATACTATAATCTATTGAGAAATATCATTATGTCTAAAAATGTATATACTTCAGTTAAAAAAATAATTTATTGCTAAAAAATACTAACCATCGTCTGAGCCTGTTTGAAAAATGGCAATGATAGACTTATTCAATGCAGGGTTGCCATAAACCTTCAATTTGTAAAAAATGCAGTATCTGTGAAGTACAATAAAACAAGGTATGCCTGTATATGCATGCCAAAGACTCATAAAACTTACAAGAGTACATTTTTTTCTGCAGCCCTTCTTTAAGGAACAGAATGTCTCTATTTTATAAGCTCTAATTGAAATTTATGGGGGTAGGGGTGGGGTGTCAAGGTTACATCATGTCCTAAACAGAGGAGGTACCATATTTTTAAATCACAGGTCACAAACCTCAGGACCAGCCTATGGCCAGGACTCTGAACTTTTGTCATTCTATTAGACACTAATGACATTACATAAATCTTGGTTTTTGTTCACTAAAGAACTCAAAACTATGACTCTGGCTCTTTTTCATATCCAATCAACTCTTAAGCCTTTACTCATCCTTTTGACTCTAATATACACATAAACTATAGACCATTATACGCTAAAAATCTTAAGATTTTACTTCATTGAAACTCTGTAGTTCCATAAATTCACTTCTACAAATGGTTAATCTGTAGCTATTTTAATGGCCAATGATTAATTTAGGGCAATAAAAGCAACAAATCACCAAAAAGAACAAACTCTGGTAAGGTAAGCAGAACTCTTCAGGCTCCTTTAAGTGACAAAACATGGAGCTATGGAAAGCTGACTATTGAAGGGTGACCAAAAGGATAATGGGCCCTGACTTAAATGGTATCAAATAAGTGACCTTTATATCCCAGCCATCACAAGGAAAGTTAAGCAGTTAGGAAAAAAGTAAATGTTCCATTTTTGATGGAGTACCAGCACCTTCCATTTCTCTCTCAAGCTATTCAAGATTACCTGTGGCAGCATTCTTTTGCTGGAACTTGGTCAAATACATGTTCATTCCTTTCTTAAAGTCCTGAGAAAATACAATTTTTAAAATCCAGAAGTCAGACCTCAGAATTTATAGTATATTTACATATTAATACTCAAAAGCTACTTTACTCAAATTCTTGAGTGTCAGATTTACTGCAATATATATATGTCCACTGCCCTTTAAGAATGCATACTCTGACCCTGGCCGGTGTGGCTCAGTTGGTTGACTTATCTTCCCATATACCAAAAGGTCATGGGTTTGATTCCCCGTCAGGGCACATACCCAGGTTGTATGTTCAATCCCCAGTCAGGGTACATACAGGAGGCAACCGATTGGTGTTTCCACTCTCACATTGATGTTTCTCTACTTCCCCTCTCTCTTTAAAAAAAAAAAAAAGCACTCTGCCTTCTACTTTTTCTTTTAGGTTTTATACCAGCCTTCTATCCACTCCCAAACATCTCTGTACATCATTTATCTAAGAGATCACAAGAGTTAATATAAAAAAAATAAAGATAAGCCAGCAGTGTAATATCCTTCTAGATGCAAAAACAAATTACTTAGGAACTTATAAATCTAAATATGATCTGACATTTTTTTCACCATAAAAAAATAGAAGACTTTTAAAATTGCTTTTTTACCTTATCCCCAATGTAGTCATGTAGCATTCGGATGACAGATGCACCTTTGCTATATGATATAGCATCAAATATCTCATCAACTTCAGAAGGATGGCCCACACTGACCTGGCAGACAATGTAATTCAAGGTTATGACAGGAAGCAGACAACCTATAACAATAAATTAAATAAAAAGCTTTCTAGGAAAACTCTTTTAACTAATAAGATACTTTTCTGCCTTTAGCTCACTCAGAATGTATAATGATGATCCTTTTTTTTTTTTTTATCCTCACTTGAGGATATCTTTTCCATTGATTTTTTAGAGAGAGTGGAGGAGAGGGCAGATGGAAAGGAGGAGAGAGAGAGAGGAAGATCGATGTGACAGAGACACATTGATCTGTTGCCTCCCACCTGCACCCTGACCAGGGCTGGGGATCAAGCTGATGATTCTTGAGTATAGTAACACTAATAAAGTAGAATATGTAACATGATCCCCATCATCTCTTAGGGTCCAGTCTTGGCTCTGCTTTGCTGGCAAGTCACTATGGATCTGTTTACTGGTGGTGGTGGTGAGTGGGGGTGGGGAAGGAGTTGTATTGACTTATAATTATTAGGACCTTGGTTAAATATGTCAAAGTAGACTGTAAGTCTAGTTCTTTGAAGGCAAAATTTATACATATAAATTAGCTGAAATAACAATATGCTAAGTCAAGAGAATTAAAAAAATATATAAAACAATGACAACAATTAAAGAATATGTTCAGAATTTTCTTTGAAACAATGGAATGATAATGTTCCCCTATGCATATTACCCCACAGGTATGGTTCTCTCATACTATTCAATAAAAATGTATTTAGTGAATGTTTAAGGGTACATTGTACTTGACTGTACAATGATTTTTATACTGCCTATCTTAAGAAGAAACATAATTAGACCAGTCTTGCTAGATTTTCAAAACTTGAAATATAAACTATAAAAACAAGTGAAATCACCCATGCAATTTTCAGAGTCCTAAGTATCTTTATAACACATTACTTCATTAAAAATGAGAACAATGGTTGAAATTATGGCTCACTTCAATAGGATGGCTGTTATCTAAGGCATCAAGCTCCTGGGCACGGGTATAATCAGCAGAAACAAACTGAGTCCAGATATCATACTCTGGGAAGCAGTGGTCTACACACAGATATTCAATCCAGGATGCAAAGCCTTCATTTAACCAAAGATGTGTCCACCATTCCTAAAAACAAGAGAGAAACAGGTAAAGAAAACAAAATGCTTGTCAGTCCACTAATTTGAAAAACTCACATGTCCCTTCCATTATAATCTAAAACTTACCAACCTAATTAACTAAAATTTAAAACAAATAGTAAATAACTCATATATTTGTTGGTTTTTATTTTTTAATCCCCACCAGAAGATATGTTTCCACTGATTTTAGAGAGAGGGAGAGAGAGAGAAAATGTGTGTGGGGGGGAGAGAGAGAAAAAAAAAACATCGACTGGTTGCTTCCTATACTCACTCTGACCAGGGATCGAACCACAACCTAGGTATGTGCCCTGACCGGGAATTGAACCTGCAACCTTTCAGTGTATGGGACGAAGCTCCAACCCACTGAGCCACACGTGCCAGGACGATAATTCATATCTCTGAACTAAAGAGATGCTTAAAAGAGATTCCAAGAAAGGGCAACTGATGATATTAGCATTATGCCTGAGAGACATTTCAAAACATTAATAAGTAACACTTTACTACCAAAGGTAGAAACGGAGGAAGGAGGCGGGCATGGTGGGGAAGCCCTTACATGGAAAGGGGAAGAGAGTGAATAAATATAGGCTTTTCCCCCTATATTATTTCCTACATTGTGATATAAAATTTAGTTTAATAAAGATTTCTTTTAAAAAAAAAACACCACACACAAAAGCCCTGGCTGGTGTTAGAGCAGTGGTTAGAGCACCGGCCTGCCCTGAAGGGTCGCCGGTCCAATTCTAGGTCAAGGGCATGTATCTGGGTTGCAGGTTAGGTCCCTGGCCTGGGTCAGGGCATGTGCAGGAGGCAGCCAATTGATGTGTTTCTCTCACGCTGATGTTTCTCCTTCTCTCCCTCTCCCTTCCCTCCTCCTCTTCCACTCTTTCTAAAAATCAATGAAAAAATACCCTAAGATGAGTGTTAACGAACAACAACAAACCCGCAAAAAACCCCAGAAAGCTACCAGGACCAAAGAAGAAAAACTGGAAGCTATTTCCATAATGACTGAGAAAAACCATTGTTTATGGATAAGTTAAACTTTCTAGATAAATAGAAAAGCAGTACTGCTTATATAAGAATTAGGTGAGATTAACAGAAATGTCATGGCAGTTAAGTAGTTCAGTAATGAATGGTATTTAAGCACTTATGGAATATAAAATTCTCACCTGTTAAGAATTAATAGGAGAATGGACAAAGAATAATAGGAGAATGGACAAAGTTGGACAAAAAACCAACTTTTAAAAAAAACAACATTTTAGAAAGAGATTTCAATCTAATTTTCATTAAAGTTGATTAAGTCTCTTATGAAATGAAAGCAATATATGAATCCACAATAAATGCTAAAGAACTAATGCAATGGTAAAAAACAAAAAAGCATTTAAAAATTCTGAAAAGACCAAAACTTTCCAATATTAAGTGATAACTGGCTATTTGTCTAAGTGCTTTGTGCACTTACTTAACTAGCAGCCTCCATTAAGGTAGCTGGTACAATGGTAGTTATTCTCCAACCTATCTCCAGGATGTTGAATTTCAGTTAATGAAACAACTGGCATCTAATAACCAGAATAGTTACTCAAATCCAGTAAAAAGCTGATTACAAACAATAATAATGCACACATTTCCCCTACTAAAAATTATTACTGGTAGTTTCAAAACAAAATCATAAAAAATACAGTCCACTGAAAGTCGAGCAAAAAAAATTGTTTAGTAGCAACAAACTTGCTGCATTAAGTAGAAAAGAACATTTCTGTACATATTTGAATACAGGTATTAGCATACTTAATTTGACAAAAAATTGTATTTCAAAAAAACGTTTTATACCCCCAAGTAAAATTTTAAACATCCAAAGTAAAAGGGAACAGATTCTAAAGAGCTGACTTCCTTTAGAAACTCTATCAGACATGTCATAGTTGCTACATGTCTTACTTTCTTGCTTATTTCTGTGACATATGGTCTCAAATATATCCAAGTGAGGTTTTGCTCTCTGGCAGCCTAAAATGCCATCAGGGATCTGGCTGCCTCCAGAATCTCCAGTTTTTTCTTTGCAGAGGTACACCAAGTTCACTTATTAAACCCTGTGCTCCCAAGCTCTAATATAATTGGCTGTCACAGACAGCATTTATTTAGATTAAGAGGGAAAGGTCAAGACTAAAGGACAGCCTGGCTGGGCGTGCCTCAGTAGCTGAGCGTCTGCCTAGATCCAGATCTCGGTTCAATTCCTGGTCAAGGCACATGCCCAGGCTGTGGACTCGATCCCCAGTGGGGGGGGTGCAGGAGGCAGCCAATCAATGACAACTCTCTCATCAATGATGTTTCAACTCTCTCTCTCCCTCTCCCTTCCTCTCTGTGTAATCAATAAAGATAAACTAAAAAAAAAAAAAAAGA